AAGCATGTCTTTATCATTGCTATGGTTTGATAGTGCCTCGCTAACAGGTGAGGTTTCCCTACCAGTACATCATATCAATGAACATGTTCAGTGACAAGTATTGATCCAAGTTACTGAGATCACAGCTCTGGAATGCATGTGTTCCTCCAGGGAGAATGGAACAGTTGGAGCCATAGCCTAGCTGTTTGCACCAGTGCTGGGAAAACTACTTTTGCTTGTCAAACTACAAGTTTAAATTCATAGTTTGAAGTCGGCATGAGTTCAGTCTATTTTCTAAATGCTATTGATTTTATTGTGAATGATTCGTCCAAGACTTTTTAATTAAAAACAAAAAAACAAAAAACAAAATCTGGTAACACTTTACTTGAAAGGGTGTGCATAAGACTGACATGACACCTTTTTATTTTTATTTTTTTATTATACTAGTTTTATATTACATCCCTACTGTGTTATTCCTATGTATGTCTACACTATCATGTATGTCTGCACTATGTTTGTACTTTCTTCTACACTGGAAGCTCCTGTCGTCAAGTCAAATTCCTTGTGTGTGTAAACATACTTGGTAATAAAGCTCTTCTGATTCTGATTCTGATTCTGATTCTAAAGTCTTTGTCTGTCTTCGTCTGAATGGGGAGGTTACTGAAGTGTTCAGATGGGTGTAATGTTTAGAAAAGAAATGGCTTTCCATAAGAATGGTTGCTTTCTTTCAAATAGTTACAATGATAACGAGAATGCTTATGAACTATATGATTTCATTTGCATTCTTTATAAAATAAACATTTCCTCTTGAAGATCTCTGAGTTGCAGCTATACCCAACTCCAGCACAGAGACGAGTGACACGCATCAACAAGTCGCTGGCAGTGAGAATGCAGTTTAACAGGTATTTAATAGACATATCACTGAAATTGGATGTGGTGTCCCCACGGTGATCCGACAGACTGACACATCGACTGAGATGCGTGCAGCTCATATTGCTACCATGCTGAAAATTGTGGCTTCCTTCCTTAACCTTCGAGGACAACTTTGCTGATCAGCAGGTTCAGTGTGGTTAAAGTTAAGGGTGGACTT